CACCTACTGACTCAACAACACAACAATTACATGGGCAGCCCTAAAACAACCCAGTGCTACATATGTAGCTGTGGGGAGCACTGACACCTACTGACTCACCAACACAACAATTACATGGGCAGCACTATAACAACCCAGTCCTACACATGTAGCTGTGGGGAGCACTGACACCTACTGACTCACCAACACAACAATTACATGGGCAGCCCTACAACAACCCAGTCCTACACATGTAGCTGTGGGGAGCACTGACACCTACTGACTCACCAAAAAAACAATATCATGGGCAGCCCTACAACAACCCAGTCCTACACATGTAGCTGTGGGGAGCACTGATACCTACTGACACAACAACACAACAATTACATTGGCAGCCCTACAACAACCCAGTCCTACACATGTAGCTGTGGGGAGCACTGACACCTACTGACTCACCAACACAACAATTACATGGGCAGCCCTACAACAACCCAGTCCTACACATCTAGCTGTGGGGAGCACTGACACCTACTGACTCACCAACACAACAATTACATGGGCAGCCCTACAACAACCCAGTCCTACACATGTAGCTGTTGGGAGCACTGACACCTACTGACTCACCAACACAACAATTACATTGGCAGCCCTACAACAACCCAGTCCTACACATGTAGCTGTGGGGAGCACTGACACCTACTGACTCACCAACAAAACAATATCATGGGCAGCCCTACAACAACCCAGTCCTACACATGTAGCTGTGGGGAGCACTGACACCTACTGACTCACCAACGCAACAATTACATGGGCAGCCCTACAACAACCCAGTCCTACACATCTAGCTGTGGGGAGCACTGACACCTACTGACTCACCAACACAACAATTACATGGGCAGCCCTACAATAACCCAGTCCTACATATGTAGCTGTGGGGAGCACTGACACCTACTGACTCACCAACACAACAATTACATGGGCAGCCCTACAATAACCCAGTCCTACATATGTAGCTGTGGGGAGCACTGACACCTACTGACTCACCAACACAACAATTACATGGGCAGCCCTACAACAACCCAGTCCTACACATGTAGCTGTGGGGAGCACTGACACCTACTGACACAACAACACAACAATTACATGGGCAGCCCTAAAACAACCCAGTCCTACACATGTAGCTGTGGGGTGCACTGACAACTACTGACACAACAACACAACAATTACATGGGCAGCCCTACAACAACCCAGTCCTACACATGTAGCTGTGGGGAGCACTGACACCTACTGACTCACCAACACAACAATTACATGGGCAGCCCTAAAACAACCCAGTTCTGCATATGTAGCTGTGGGGAGCACTGACACCTACAGACTCACCAACACAACAATTACATGGGCAGCCCTACAACAACCCAGTCCTACGCATGTAGCTGTGGGGAGCACTGACACCTACTGACTCACCAACACAACAATTACATGGGCAGCCCTACAACAACCCAGTCCTACATATGTACCTGTGGGGAGCACTGACACCTACTGACTCACCAACACAACAATTACATGCGCAGCCCTACAACAACCCAGTCCTACACATGTAGCTGTGGGGAGCACTGACACCTACTGACTCACCAACACAACAATTACATGGGCAGCCCTACAACAGCCCTAGTATGAAAACATGCCAATTCGTATTGCACATCCCAAACACAGCATAGTCGATAAAAAATACCGGGAACACGTGATCACTTCCGGGAAAAAACGTAAATTTCTTGAAAGTGACATTTCCCTCTCTAGCATGTTCTGCACGTGCATAAAAACTGTATAAAACGGCTGATCAGACACGTTAATATCACAGCAACAAAAAGAACACAATATATGCCACGTTTGACAGCCATCGAGGGAGAGAGACCCGTTGGAATGGTCCAACAAGGAGCGTTACACCTCGACGTCGCCAGAAGGTTGGGCTGCGCACGCATCGCTATCACCAGGTTGATGCAGCGGTTACGTCAGACAGGTCAGACGTCAGACAGGCCCAGGAGTGGAAGACCACGAGTAACCACGCCCCGTGAAGATCGTTACATCCGGGTATTACACCTGAGGAACCGCACCGTAACAGCGACGTCCACGGCGGCTACATCACTGGGACACAGGATCAGTCGACAGACCGTCTACAGGAGACTACGGCAGTATGGTATCTGGCCACGTCATCCCTACCGCGGACCGCTCCTGAAGCCTCGACACCGGAACAACAGACTGATCTGGGCCAGGCGAGTTCGACGTTGGCAACGGCGGGACTAGGCACGTGTTATGTTCTCTGATGAGAGCAGATTCCTCATCTTCAGAAACGATGGACGGCAGCTTGTGTACCGACGATTTGGTGAACGTTTGGCGCCTAACTGTATCCAACAGGTCCGGCCGTTTGGAGGTGGAGGGTTAATGGTTTGGGGTGGCATATGTGGTGACGTCAAAACGATGCTTGTCGTAATTCGTGGAAACCTGAATGCACAGCGGTATCTTGATGACATCCTACGGCCTGTCGTGGTGCCCTTTATTCAGCAACAGCCTCGTGGACTCCTTTTCCAACATGACAATGCAAGGCCACACACAGCAAGATTGACACAGAACTTCCTTGCCAACGCCAACGTACAGGTTTTGCCATGGCACGCATGTTCACCGGACATGAATCCCATCGAGCACTTATGGGACAACCTCGATCGGCAAATCCGACGTCGCCGTGTGCCTCCAGTAAACGTCCAGGACTTGGAACGATGTCTCCTCGAGGAATGGCAACGCATCACTCACGTCATCAGACGTTTGACGTCATCAGTCCGTAGGCGTGTTCTGGCATGTATTGATGCTCACGGTGGACATACCCGCTACTGACTTGACTTTGAGACGTGTGGTGTGACATTTCCCGTTGTTTCTGTGATCAGTGCTCTAACGAATTTTTCGACCCCACCCATCTTTAAAGGCTTGTCATATTGGTTGTACAGATTTTATTGAATTGAAATTTTTGTACAGATGTTGTGAAAGGATTTCTCAAAAGCATAAAACCAATCCTAAACTTCTGCATTGTTTAGTTTTTCTTTTATTTCGTTGCAAACAGGTGGTATCGTTTCTTTTGGACACTAGTTTATAATCAATGTGTCCAACCTTTTACAATTATTGTGATCACAGGACATTAAAAGGTTTTCTTTTTTTTTCAAAGAACTGTAAAAAGTATGAGCAATATAAACCATACCATGTACCCCCTTGGTCAAAGCTTCTTTGCCAAAGGTGCTTCTTCGCATCTTTCAGTGTATAATTCTGAGACGAGATGAAGGGAAATAATCACATATAATACTAATGAACAAATACATGTCCAATATTGAAAATATTTTTGTTTGTTTTGAAATATTCTTTAGGGAATTTCATTACGCACTGAGGCCGAACAGGTGCTTGTCGTGTCCAATTAATATACCCGGTAACACTATCTAATTGTTTAACTGGTCAAGGCATTATTTACATAGTAAAAGCAGTCATTTTTTGTTGTCTCGAAAAAGCGTCAAATACCGTTTTACACATCAAGAGATCAATAACATGAACGAAGATTACTGGGACATATATTAATACAAACACCAAAGTCGTCTTTCTCCGACGTCATCAGAGACAGATAACCAGCTGTGACGTCAACAACAATGGTGTCAATGTTTAAGTAATTCATTACATTTAATGATAAGGCTGTGCTCCATTAGTGATGGTGCAACATTAGCCAAATTACAGTTACACAATCAGGTGAACACGAGAACCTAAGTACTAACTCATATGTTAGCTGGGGCCATACATTTTGTTTTTACTTCACGGTTTTATGAAGTACCATTCCATCATTTCTTAGGTTTTGTTTTATACATAAATTTATTCAGTTCAATATCCATATTTGTGTTGGAATAGTTCGGTTTCTCGTGAACGAAACACAACAAAATATATTGTCCTTGTTACCGCTCTGTTGTGTTTTTTGGATACGAATCCATGTGATATATATTTGTCTGTCTTTCAGTATTTTGTTCGCTCACTGTTCACGTAAAGCTGCTAAATAAAAAAACCGTCACACAGTACTTTTATAGGTGTACGATAAAAAGCGGATAAATTTGCTTTTTTTCAACACAGAACAATATCTCCAACAACACTTAGCTGTGTTTTGTTGTCATATCGATTAAATCTTTTCAGTTACATGGACACCATAAGACAGAAAATGGAATATTCTACATCTTCGTGTCATTTCATAGAAGGAGGTAGATCCTGTGCCGCGTGAGCGCAATTCTCGCACAACCTCCACCTTTCAGATCTTATGAAATTGTGCGTAAACAATGACAAATAACTTAGTTGGGTCCCTCATTATTCGTCATCATTTAAACTGTGTAACTAGAAACGTGTTAGTAGAAAAAACGCGTACATTCACTTGATCCCTTTACTACATTGCACATTGGCAAAGTGATCATTTAACTGGCTGTAAGTTCTTATGTAAACAATATGATGTCTCACTCCAGCGGGTATGCAGCTGGATGACAGTACAGTTATGCCATCATCAACTCTCAGATTTGCCGTCATTGTACATTTGGCGCCATATCAGCTGGTCAAATCTTGTTGCATCGAGATGTAAACAAACAGTTTGATGTCTGTCACACGACGTCTGTTGAGTTGAGCATCTTTTTGTTAGACAAATAACAGACTAGAATAAACTAGGATGTAATGTTTCATGCAGTACCATTACCACATTGAATTATCATCTGCTTACCTGATGTGAAAACATGATTATGTTTCTAGGTTTGTCAGCACCATAGCCGTGCTCGTGGGTTTCAAGGAAGTGGTAACTGTCTGAGACCTGCATCAATTCGGGCTTTCCGACACGCTGACACGCCGCGATATAACTGTAATACTGTTAAACACGGCGTAAAACCCAACTCACCCACTCACTCACTCACTCACTCACTCACTCACTCACTCATGTGCAAAGCGACAAGAACAACAATATGTCTAAAAACAATTTTACCAAGTTTTATTTTATTATGAGTCCTAAAAGGTCTCGCAGGACGTTAATTAATTAATCCTTATAATAATTCTGAAAACGATTTAACAGAGCTTGGTAGAGCGCCACGGTTCAACAGGAGGGTCTTCACTTCCTCTCTCTCCCAGTACTGCGCCCAGTCGAGTGCTGTCATCCCCTCGTCGGTTGTGGTTTCGATGTGGATTGTTGTGGCATTTTCAAGGATATAGGTCAACATCTGCACATCTCCTCTCATGCTGGCCACGTGAAGAATGTTTCGACCTGTACCTTCCACCTGTCTCGGATCGGCTCCTTTATCCATAAGGAACTTCATGACTTCTAAGTGTCCACTCCCTGCTGCCTCTATAAGCGGTGTCGTCCCGTTCAGTCCATGGCGGTTCACGTCCACCACACTAGCATTCACGGCGGACCTGATTATAGCTAGGTGACCCCAGCGACAGGCCGCAACAAAAGATTGGAAATTGTCAGGTATGGTGACTGGACGTGCGGCTCCCTGGGGCGCTGCAACAGAAACTTACACTCTGTACAATGCTGTCACCGTCTATCAGTACAAAGCATGAGCTACGTTCAAAATATAGGTTCAGTTGTGACGTAAGTTTCAGATAAAATACAATGATATATATGATACTTATAACAGAAATAAGATTACCCTGAAACGAACAGTTTAGGTTGCAAAGCAACGGAATGTTTTCGTCTTTGACGTCTTTGTTATAACTTAGCATATTGATATAATCTATGACACAGCAAATGAACGCTGACGTTGCTCTGATTACTACACTCGTGTAGCAACGTTATTCTGCCTGCTGCTCTCCCGAGAGGAACAGGTCTCTCTCTAGATACACCTGTCACGTCCAGTATTACTGCAAGTGAAACACGTTTACAGTCTGTTTGACTCCAAATGAGAACGATGAATTGCAAAATAACTCGAAATCCAGAAAAGTGTATGAAACATCAATACGGTACTTGACCATGAATACCCTGTACCAAACATAATCTGACTTTTGTTTATTGTAAGACCCATGACGGATGAAGTTCTTTAAGAAACTATCATGTAATTTTGTATAGAAATGGGGACATGACACGTAGGGGGACAAACCATGGAAGGAACAGCGCAAGCACAGTCTGCACGTGCTACACAGTGACCCTGTTCATTCAATGACAAGATGCGCTACTCAGCAGATGTTAAACAGTTGATGTTGAATGTGTATGATTTCTTTAGAAGTGAAGAAGAAAGAGCAAAGCCTTTTTTATGCAATTAATAAATTCTTGAAACGAGCTTCAAAAGCTCTTGGTATGTCCCCTCAGAAACTGAAAAATGTTGTTAGTCGACGAGATACAAATAGTCAGGCCAAGAAGGTAGGGAACATGTTAAAACAACGCAAGGTTGATAAATTAGACAGTTTTCAGAGGGATCAAGTCAGACGTGCAATTGTTAAACTGCACCCAGAAAATAAGTACCTATCCGTAAGAATTTTGAAGAAACACCTTGAAACTGACCATGATTTACGTGTAACAAACTATGGCAGCTGTTGCATACATTTGGTTTCGAATACAAAAAGATAACTGGAGAAAATAGGGCTGTGTTGTGTGAACGGTCTGACATTGTTCTTCTCCGAAATCATTACCTGCGTACAATCAAGCAGAAACGTGAAGAAGGATATGAGCCCGTCTTCTTAGATGAGACATGGGTAAATGCGTCACACACAGCCAGCAGTCAGTGGGTACCCAGTGGTGACTGTAAGGAGTCTGGTAGAAAGTTACCAATGGGAAAGGGTGAAAGACTCATAGTTCTCCATGCTGGTTCTGCTAGTCAGGGTTTTCTCCCAGACTGTGACCTCGTCTTTAGAGCCAAGGCCCAAGACAACAGGGACTACCACACAGAAATGAACGGCAATGTATTTCTGGAGTGGGTGAAAGATAAATTAGTCCCTGCTTTGCCTACCAAGTCTCTCATTGTCATGGACAATGCACCGTATCATAGTGTGCAGGATCCAGAAAGCAAGACTCCAACCTCTAATAACTGTAAAGGAGACATGGTTACTTGGCTGCAATGGAGGAACATTACCTTTTCTTCTCGAGCGACGAAACCACAGCTGTATGAAATCATCAAAACTTTGAAACCTGATCCCGTGTATAAAGTTGACAGTTACATCGATGGTCAGGGTCACGCTGTCTTACGACTGCCACCTTATCACTGCGACCTGAATCCAATCGAGTTGGTATGGGGCATCGTCAAGGGTGACGTTGGACGATCGAACACAACGTTCAAATTACGAGACGTTGAACAACTCGTAAAAGAATCCCTTGGTCGGGTAACAGTAAAAACATGGAGGCGTTGTGTGGCCACAGTCGTTGACGAGATAGAGCCTAGTTATTGGTCACGAGATGGACTACGGCCAGCAACAGTCCAACCTATAATAGTGGCAGTCGGTTCAGGCACCAGCAGTTCCGACGACAAGATCTATGGCATGAACGAGTCAGATTGCGACTGAAATTATCATGAGACGGCCCCTCTAACGCTCTGTGATTTCCCCTACCACAGACGTGCAGTGCATGCCTGCTTGCGCTGTGCCTTCCACGGTTTGTCCCCCTACGTGTCATGTACACATTTCTATACAAAATTACATGATAGTTTCCTAAAGAACTTCATCCGTCATGGGTCTTACAATAAACAAAAGTCAGATTCTGTTGGGTACAGGGTACGTGTTTCACTTGCAGTAATACTGAACGTGACAGGTGTATCTAGAGAGAGACCTGTTCCACTCGTGAGAGCAGCAGGCAGAATAACTCTTTTCCACAATGTTCAGTCTTACCTGCGTGGTCTTCTCCCTGATGCATCGTATCAGTCTGTGAGACTCCTGGTTCAGCTTCACCCGACACTGGAGGAGAAAGTCTGATACTGACAATATGGACAAAACAACAACATGTGGAATCTTCATTCTAATATAGTCAATGTCCTAAAGATATTATAGTTTGTCTCCCTGCTAATATTCTTGGAAATTGTGTGATGAAGTTGGCCTTTCATATTGTCCATTTCATATTATCCATTAACACCCTGTGTGCAGGAAGAACATGTTCCTCTCCTTCAGCTCTAACTTTGACATTGAGTAAAACTAAAAATATATATCATACACTAACTTTTGTAGAATACACTATTAGTAGCTTTCATTTAGTAAAATGGCACTCGTGAAGAGCAACCTCCTCGTGGTGAGTGCTGGGTAGCGCTAATAGCTCTTCCCCCTTGTGGAACCGGGGCAGAATATTTCCACACCACCCTATTGCTGGTCGTAAGAGGCGACCAAAGTGGGCAGCCCGTTTGCCGTGGGTTGCGTCCCAGTGTTGGCGGAGGACGGGAGTCTGGTAGTTGAGGGCACTGGTTCCAGGAACTGTGTTCCTTGCCCAACACACTATTTTGACCCTTACTTCGCCTAGACGGGTGGTAAGATGGGCCTCGTCTTATCAATCGGCTGGTCATGCCAGGCCCTGTGTGTAATATTGTATATGCACACTTGTGTTGTATTTTAATGTATATTTTGGTCTTGGCCGTGCATAACTTGTGTGAATTCTCAATTTTGGATTGAATACATTTCCTAGAGTCTTACACCAGAAGGCGGTGGCTCATTGGCCAAACTGGTACTTTCGACCTCTGAGTTCTGTATGTCTTCAATTTCTTGTCATGGGCCGGACCAGCCTGGCTTTTTATTTGATAGACAAATACAGCTATTCATGTTGTTTTTACTGGAGTATACCACCTCTGTATCCCTGATGTTTGCATGTTGGAGATCCGGTGCAATAAAACATAGCTCCATGGTGGGTGGGGAGCAGGGGTGCTGAATAAATTACTTTCATCATGGCTCACAATCATTCTGGTTTAAACCACAATTAAAAGAAGAGACGTCTCGAAGCTGAGATTTTATCATCTGATGATGATGTTTCAATTTCACAAACTTCCAATTTCATGGGCACGTTTTATTGTAGTTGAATCACGAAATCAACTACCATTGAAAATTAATCCTTTTGCTATATCTTAAGCCATTGCAGGTATTTGTTGTGAAGTCAAGAATGTTTCACGGCTCCGGAGCGGTTCTCGTTTGGTAGAGTGTGCACAGAGACAGCAAGCTATCAATCTTTTTAAATGTACTACATTTGCAAACACTGAAGTTGCTGTCTCTGCACACAGAACGTTAAACTCAAGTCGAGGCATCATCCGCGACAGAGCCCGTTGTCTGGCAGAAATGACAGAAGAGGAAATTCTTGATGAACTCAACGATCAACATGTCACTTCAGTGAAACGTTTCACAAGAAAGGATGGAGATAACATTGTCCCAACAAATACATATTTGTTAACTTTATTTCTGTCGACCATACCGCAATCTATAAAGGCAGGCTATTTTAACATCGGAGTGGAGGTGTATGTCCCCAATCCACTCTGATGTTACAAGTGTCAGAAGTTTGGACACCGTTCCAAATCATGCGATCAGCCGAAAGTTTGTCACCGTTGTGGTGCAAATCATGACGCCTCAGATTGTACAGCTGACCCCAAATGCGTGAATTGTAAGGGTAAACATGTTGCATCTTCAAAATCATGTCCTCTTTGGCAACATGAACAAGATATCTTGACAGTCAAATGTCAAAACAACATTTCTTTTCAGGAAGCAAAAAGAGTCATTTCCAACCGGTCACCTCCATCAGTCCAAACTTATGCTGCTGCTGTCTCTCGACCTTCTACCACAAGATGGACTCTAGCGTGGTGATCTACCTTCAGTCGTTGGCGATCTATAGCCTGTTTTTAAATTGTGTTGCAAAATGATAATATATTTTTACATGTTCTCTAACTAGTTTTATGTAAATCTGTGATGTTCTAGTTATTATACTGCCCTTCGTCGGCGGAATTTTATACAGTTTAAAATATATTGTTGATGTCAAATTTTGTTTCGTCACTGTATGGCTGAAATATTGCTGATGTGACGTTAAACTTTAACTCACTCACTCACTCACTCTACCACAAGATCAATAGAATGTCAAACTGACTTGACATAGGCACACTCTGAACACCCTGTGCCTGTTACAACATCAGAGAGTCAGACAAATGATTCAGATAATCAATCATGCGGCATCTCTCCACCATCTCAGGTTGTGACTCAGACTATGGCCCCACCTAAACCAACTCCTGAATTACCAGCAACTATCAAACCATCGACTGAAATGCCCAAAAAACAAAAGAAGAAACAAAACAAGAAAATTACTACTAAGATCCATTCTCTCACTGAAACATCTGTAGATGTTCACAATTACTTTGATCCTCTCGAGATGGATGTTACTCCATCTTCCATGAGTGGTGACTCTTCTTCACTTTCACGTGAGCGATCTCCTATAGAACTGCCATGACCCATTCAAATATTTTTCAATGGAATTGCAGAGGACTTAGGCACAATCTTAACGCAATTATTTATTTATTTAAATTTAACTGCAATTATTAACAACAGATTTAAGTCCATCAGCAATTTCTTTACAAGAGACGTACCTCAAAACTACAGATAAAGCTACTGGAGGAGCTACTATTTTGGTGCGGCTTGGCGTTGTGCACAGCCCTGTTCCGCTTGACACAAATCTGCAAGCAGTTGCAGTTAGACTTACACTGCATATTGCCTTCACACTTTGCTCCTTACACATTCAACCTTCTTCAAATCTTCAGCAAAATGATCTACAAAAACTATACGACCAACTCCCAAATCCCTGTGTCATCATGGGTGGTCTAAATGGGCATAATCCTTTATGGAAGTGCAATCATTAATCAAAAAGGAAAAGTGATCGAGGATTTTGTTTCCGATAATGATCTATGCATCTTTAATGATGACTCCGACACGTATTTACACCATGCTACTGGCACATATTCATCACTAGATCTGTCTCTGACGGATTCAGTTTTGTTAAACGAAGTCTCCTGGTCAGTCCACGATGACCTCTGTGGAAGTGACCACTTCCCCACCGCACTTAAACCCATTAATCCCACCGATGATCCACCTTCACCTGGATGGAATTTTTTTAAGGCTGATTGTCCTTTTTTCAATCTTTATGCAAAGATAAATTACAACCTACGTCTTTTTCAGAATGTTACTGACCCGATTCAGTTCTTCTCAGATCAACTGAATAAAATTGATGATGAATCAATTCCTAAGTCCTCTGTCAACCCACGTGTTCGTAAACCATGGTTTGATGACACTTGCAAACAAACTAGGAAATGTTGTAAGAAGGCGGAGAAATACTTCCGTAAACATCCTACTGTCCATAATTTCAACACTATTAAAATTTCAAATGCTAAGGTAAGACGTCTATTTAAGCAAAATAAACGTCAATCATAGGGGAACTATGTCTCCAAAATAAACACTCGTACACCTATGTCCAAGGTATGGAACATGATTAAAAAGATCAAAGGCAAGGGATCACATTCTACAGTTAACCATCTGAAGGATAGCGATACTTTACTAAGTGATAAAACTGCTATTGCCAATAGACTTGGGAAAACTTTATCTCAATATTCGTCTTCATCCAATTACGTTCCCTAATTAAAAAAATATCAGCTCCAACAGGAAAAGAAACAAGTAAATTTTACATCGGATAATGGTGAAGATTACAAGGAAGTATTTTCACTACATAAGCTATATACTGCCTTAGGGCAAGCTCATGATACAGCAGCAGACGCTGATAATATTCATTATCAGCTACTGAAACACTTGCCCGAATCATGCCCTGAAACTATGTTGACTATATTCGATGATATTTGGACATCAGGGACGTTTCCACCTTCATGGCATAATGCCATTGTTACCCCAATGCCCAAACCTGGGCTGGATAATTCTGATTCATCAAATTACCGACCTATATCTCTAACTAACGGTGTTTGTAAAACTATGGAACGCATGGCAAATAGTCGATTAGTGTGGTACTTGGAAACAAATGATCTTCTTACCAATATACAATGTGGTTTCCGGAAAAACAGAAGTACTATCGATCCTTTAGTGCGTTTAGAATCGTTTATCAAGAATTCCATTGTAAATAGACAACATGCTGTATTGATCATTTTCGATTTAGAAAAAGCTTATGATACAACATGGAAACATGGTATTTTAAAAGATCTTCATGATTTTGGATTAAGAGGCCGTCTGCCTCATTTTATATCACAGATTTTAACAGACAGGCAATTTCAAGTCCGAGTGGGTACAACCTTGTCTGATCATTATAATCAGGAGCAGGGTGTCCCGCAAGGCAGTATTTTGTGTGTCACTTTGTTCAGTATAAAAATCAACAGTTTTTCAAAAGCTGTAAATGATTCAGTTGATGGATCACTTTTTGTGGATGATTTTAATATATCTTGTCGTGGTAAAAATATGCACACAATAGAAAAGCAATTACAATTATGTCTAAATAAAATTCACAAGTGGTGTCTAGAAAACGGGTTTAAATTTTCAAATCAAAAACTAATTGCATACATTTCTGCCGAAAATATAAACCGCAGAAGGACCCTGAACTATTTCTGAATGGCACCCCTATCAAAGTTGTTAAGGAGGCCAAGTTCTTGGGATTTATTTTTGATAACCACTTAACTTTCCTTCCACATATTAAATACCTTAAAGCTAAATGCCTTAAGGCACTCGATCTATTAAAAGTTGTTTCTAATTCAAAGTGGGGAGGGGATCAAACAACACTCTTACACTTGTACAGGTCACTAATCCGTTCAAAACTTAATTATGGCTCCATCGTCTATGGGTGAGCCTGCAAAAGTAATTTACAAAAACTAGATACTATACATTATCGGGGCCTGAGGCTGTGCCTTGGAGCCTTTAGAACGTCTCCCATTCACACTCTATATATAGAAGCAGATGAGCCTTCTCTTAAACAACGCCGTTTAAAATTATCTCTACAATACATCACTAAATTATATTCAAATCAGTCAAATCCAGCTTTTGAATGCATATTCAATCCTCTCTAATAAGATCTTTATAATATTAAATCAACACTCACTCCACCACTCGGAATTAGAATAAAATCTGCAATATCAGCTTCAAATATTAAACTCCAAGATATAGCTCCTACTCAACTTTTCTCATCTCCTCCTTGGCAGATGGTTAAGCCAGAGATAGACCTTACATTAACGAAACTAAAGAAATCAGATACTAACCAATTAACTTATCAACAAGAATACCATCAACTAAGAAACTCTTACGACACTTATAAATCTATTTACCGATGGATCCGAGGATGGTGGTGCTGTTGCTAGTGCCACTGTCATTGGATCCAGAACAATATCTTTACGATTACACAATAACAGTTCCATATTTACAGCAGAAGCACATGCCATTTTTACAGCACTAAAATATATCAGTCATCAATCTAAACATAAATAATTCATTATCTTTTCTGATACCCTTTCAGACGATTAACAAAATGTCCTCGAAACATCCACATCCAAATTCTTGAATTAATTAATTATCTTGCTACTGGCCAATATGACATCGTCTTTTGTTGGTTACCAAACCATGTTGGTATCATTGGTAACACAATAGCTGATGCTGCTGCAAAGGCAGCACTCAACAAATCTGTGACACCACTTCTGATCCCCTACACTGATTTTAAACCTGCAATTAGATCTTACATCCGTAACCTGATGCAAAAGAAGTGGGACACCCAAGTAGGTATCAATAAATTACATGAATTTAAACCACATATCGGTTACACCTACTCGGGCTGTCAGTTCAGATTTGAAGAGGTCATTATGCGACGATGCCGTATTGGCCATTCAAGATATACACATGAATATTTGTTAAAAGGTGAGGATCCTCCGTTTTGTATCCCTTGTGATGAAAGAATAACGGTCAAGCATGTCCTGCTTGACTGTGTTGATTTTTCCATCACAAGGGATAAATATTTCAATGTTAAAACAATTAAGGACCTTTTTAATGATGTTAATTCTCGTTTAATATTATGTTTTTTAAAAGAAATAGAACTTGTTCAAAACTGTTGATGTACTTACTGTATTGTTTTAAAAATTGGTAGTGCATTTTAATAACTTAGATTGTTAGTGGCTGTACCCTCTAGTGGGGGTTGAAGTAGCGTACAATATTATCACCCTAAGAGGGTATGTAAGTCCCACATCATTCGAGGTATTTTTCTGCATACCAGGCTTTTAAACGTAGTATTTTCGTTATTTTAATCTAAGGCTTAACTGGTACACTGTCGCCAGTGACTGAAGGGATGATATGAATCCTGCCGGGGTCCATGCAGGAAGCAAAAGTACTGTAGGTCCCCATGGTCCCCAGTATGGTGATCACCCTTCAGTGGCTCACGATCTCTAGCCCATTTTTATATTGTGGTGTTCATTGCTTACTGCTTTTTAATATTCTCAACTAGTTTTAAATCAAGTCGGTGAAATTCTAGATATTCTAGTTATTTTATTTAGTCTAAATATATGTATCATAATTGTATCATAAATGTAACTTCTCGTCACGATATGGGTGAAATATTGCCCATGTGTCGTTAAATAATAACTCACTCACTTTAGTAAAATTGAATTCTGTTCTTTTGGAATTTACTGTAGACCAAGCGAAAATCCACAGAATACAACCTGTGAAATTCAGAGCGAATGTCTCGTTTTCAAAAATATTTTATGGATAATGAAACGAAGATAGAGTGAGTTGGGTTTTAACGCCGCTTCTAACAGTATTCGAGTTATATCACGGCGTGTCTAACAAGTATGGTTTGTGAGGTTGTTCCCGGAACTGGACAGCTTCGCCCGAACGCAACGGTCCCTAACAGTACTGTGTGGCTGCACATGGAATCATAGACTATGACGCGTGATCCGATTTCGATTGTAGCCAGTCTCGTTATTGTCCTGGTCAAGTAAACGTCTTGTGTTCGTACCTCTGTGTTGTATGTTATGTGCGCCCGAAGACCTTACACACTTGCTACGCGTATACCTAAAAGCTGCAGTCATTATGCATAAAGCCTTTGACCAATGAAAAATAGATGAAGGCTCATCTAACGTCTTTCTGTGACAGGGTTGTGCCTAATCAGTTCACCGCCATGTTGTCGTTATGCTTACGATACATCCCTAAGTATAATGGGCCTGATATAAACAAAATATCTATGTTGAACTGATATTTTAACACCTAATGACCCCCCTACATCTCTATCAACAAGACGAACGCCCACAACCTAATAGTGAGGGATACATAAGCCAACAATACAATGAATGGGGCTTCTGTGCAAGGTGTTCGACATTTGACTCAATTACTTTATTGTTATTGACGTCTCTATCAGGTGTATTCATAAAGATAGTGTGTATTCCATTTGCATTAAAAATAAAAGAAACATATTTAGTAGCCGAAAATATACTTACAGGTTAAATTCCTTTGTTTCACCGATGTGTCACGATCAAGAACACTGTCAGTGTAGTCTGTCCTCCAACGTCCTGCGCCGTACACTGAGCCAGGCACACCTCCTCGTCCCAGTGTATACACACTGAGGAAACATCACACGCTCTAGCTATTGGTTGGAAAAGCACCTCGTGATATATTGCCTACTCGTCTAGTACAGGCTGTGCACAGGTGCGTCCGGAGACAACATCGCGTGATTGCAGATTTGAATAAATACTGCCTCATTATGGATCTTGGTTTGTCAGCACAACATCCATGCCCTTTGGTGTCAGGTTGTCTCGCGTGTTGAGTCACAATTAACATGCAAAGTCATTTGAGGAGCTTGGCTAAGACAGGTTGCTCATATATATAGTGAGAATGAGGGCTTATGATTATGTTACCTTTCACGCCCTATGGAATCAAGACTCTCGTGACTTTGACATTTTGAATTTGGCCGATGTTTAAGCTAGTGGTCTGAGACATTATAACTCCAACCACTGTTTTAAAAACCCCGAAAATATTGCTTAACTCTCTCCCTTTGTTTGTTACTAACAGAACAGTTGCACTTACAAGTACGCTGCAGAAGTTATTCAAAGTGAACATATCATTTTAGTTTCAACATTATTAGAAAACGTGCTACCGTGTCACTGGATTGTCTGGTCCAGCCTGTTTTCAGACTGCCGTGGTATGTTGTGTGTGACGTTAGGCAATATACAAACATTTACTTGTTTTGTGCAAGTTCTGTGATTGTCGGGTGCTACCGGTGGGGCAATACATTCTTCCCTTTTCGCAAACTTCTTGTGTTATCACTGATTTCAGTGATCTATTCATATAATTTTCACCACTAATACCTCCTCTCATTACAATGTGCATATGACGCCGGTACTCAGTTGAAGACATAACAACTGAATTGTTTCACCATATATCAGACCTAATTGTATCACCTACGTAGAAGCCTACAACCCAGCTGATTGAGCTGGTTGGCTGTCACACATTTTACCACTCTGCCGTCTTCCTCTTGATCTAGATGTTTTTCCTTAGCTCATGAATTGATCTACAAGTATTCTTGAACAAGTTCATGAACTTACTTTATGAGCCTTTAATGAACAGTTCATGATTTAAAATTTCACAGAGCCAGAACCCCACAATGCCATGCCAGGAATATTTCTGCTCACGAACATCACCTGCATACACATGGTTCATGCGCTCACATGGACAATGTCACAGTCCAAGTGGAATGGTCACACCTAGACTGCCGTGTCTAGACCTGCTTCTGAAGCGGTAGCACGATCATGAAGACCCTCTTGATCAGCCATCAACTATGTGCAAGTTCCATCTGGGAGAGGAGAAGAACTTCCGACATGGCACCATTGAGGTCTTCTTTTGAGCATTGGCCTCTATACGTCAACAACAGGGCCACTTTATAGGTACTAGTCTAGTTCTTAAGCGACTTCCTAAAATGAGATATATCAATTGTACTGTGAACCGTAATGGACCTACCCTACAAGCCTATGACATGTGCTGCAGGCTTCGGAAACGACAGACAATTCAGAAGAAAAGTCACGCGTCTGATATTTCCTCGCTCGCTCACGCACAAGACTGAGGCACAATAATTTTCAAGTCCCTGGCAGACTTTGTTGCCAAGAATTAGTCATCAGCTACACTATCGTCTGTGGTTTATCCAGACAGACCAATGTGTCGAATCAGAGCTCTGAAATATTACATCACTTTTAAGAAGAAAGCGAAACACAGAAACAGTGAAATCATGCGGATCTTGTGTTTGGATCTGGCTGTAACTGACCATGTGATTTTAAACAGCTGCCTTCTCCCGGACATATTTGTTCCGTTACACTCTGATTGTTGCAGTTCTTCTCGCCTCTTTCCCTGATTAAACTTGGATCGTATTGATCCTACTCTCCGTTGATTGGCTACTGATTTTGTTGGGGTTTACTGTGTTTAAGGGGTAGCAGGGTTTTGCCCTTTGACCTGACAGCCAATAGTTTACCTCGCTGAGGACTTGAGCAAGTTCTTATTCTTGCTGCAAGGGGACATTTAAATCCAGTGACACCTATCTCGGTTGCTGATAATCCACTGGCCGTATAATGACCCCACACTTGCACCACTTGCTCTTCGACAGCGATACATCATAGGTTATCTTATCTTCCTTAAATGAGTGGTCATATAGCAACTCTGTGTATTTCAAAGTTGACCAGTATTTTGCCTGTCCAGAAGAAGATTGACTAATTGTCATCGTCTACATTCCTTGCTGTTTCATTAGTGTACTGATTGTTTTCATGCACCACTTAGCTCTTGGTCATTATAAACACTGGGTCAAAACAAGGCAACTAACATATTCAACCAGCAACCTTAAAAAAAAATTAGGTGTATGTGACTGAAGTTGTTGTAGACTGACCCGTGCTGGACAGCTATGTTATTGTGACCATCCTTGTAATTTCGTTTTTGGTAACCACGCCTAGGTTTGTTGTCTGTTTCACATGACACTTGTTTTCTTTACTCACTCAAGTATCCAGGTACTAGTGGGATTTTCCTCCTTAGAGTGGATTCGTTTGCATTCCCTGGAATTTATACAACCAGAGCTGCCTAAGAGTAGGGAAATCTCCTACTGCCACTGATGTAACATTCCCTGCTGAGGAGTGGACAGTCAGATTCACATACAAATGGTAGCTTATAATTATCTCCTAAAATCAGACCGCCTCCGTGGTCTAGTGGATAGAGCGTCTGCCAAGAGAGCGGAAAGTCGGTATCCCCGGCAGCGTCACACTAAAAGACGCTAAAAGATGGTATGTTGTTACCCTGCCTGGCGCTCGACATTAAGGGGATAAAACAAGGACTGGTCGGCCCTGTGTCTGAGTGGGGTATTCCTGTTAAACTGAGGCAAGTTATTCCAGTGGACCAGCACTTGAAAACTGGCATCAGTCAGAACTAGTACAAGCAGTCTCACACACACGTGCATGCACGTCGCTATATAAGTTCAATAATCTTGCACGCATAATTAAACCCTTATTCACCTCACCTCACCTCCTAAAAACCTCCTCACTGTTTTAAACAATATTTGTATACGAGTTAAGATTTTGTACTCTCTCGGCCTGGTGAAGGATATTACTGGTAAAATCTCCTTAATCGCCCAACGTGGGCACAGTTGATTCATACTTAATAACCCATACTTGATCTGGCCTGAACATGAAGAAGAGAGGCTACCCTCACCTTCTCGCGAACACCTGGTGTCATCACTATTTGATAGTGATTCATAAACACATGCTCGTGATGTAGTCGGAATCATACAATCGACTCTGATTTTAGCAGTGATTTCTATTGAAATTGGAGGGCGTTGAGTCACTTTACTATATCCACTCTCATACTAGCAACACGCAACGATTTAGACCACGCCAGGTTTACATATTGCGATCTCATTTGACAGTCACCGGTGTAGAGGGCTCAGCTTGTACGCTAGAGCACATCTATCACTATTTCATTTCAGCCAAGGTAATATGGTTCATTGAGTTCTATGAATTGTACATGCTAAAACGTCAAGTATGCCTGCCAAGCCCTGCTTGTTTCGTTACCAAATTTAAGGGGTGGTCGGGTAGCCCAGTGGTTAAAGCGTTCAATCGTCACGCCGAAGACCCGTGTTCGATTCCCGACATGGGTACAATGTGTGAAGCCCATTTCTGGTGTCCCCCGCCGTGATATTGCTGGAATATTGCTAAAAGCGGCGTAAAACCATACTCACTCACTCGTTACCAATTTATATATAATGTTAAATTATGATCATTCATGCATAACACCATATGAAACATCCCCATCTCCTGTGGCTGGGAAAAGCCTTGGCGCTAAGTTCAATTGTTTCCAGATATTTCAAACAATTTTATTACATGTGTCGCTAAGGGAATCAGAACCGAAGTGCATAGAAGATGAACATCCTGTGTGTTCAGGAAATCAACAGACAATTTTGCACTGTGGCAAAAACACAGCATGTACAGGTGATCGTTTCAACTGGTAGAAACAAACACGTCCAGCAACTGCCTAACTGTGTCCACGGGTACGTGAGCAATGATTTGTTTTCAAGCTCAAGCAGGAACACATATCCCATAGTTCGGCAGTATAGTACAATGGGATCACGTGTCTTGTTTCCTGGAAAACGACTTTGAACGAGAATTCTAGAACGCAGTACAGTGTGTGTTTTGTGAGCGACTGTGTTGAAGGTGATCACGTGATCCACAGTGACAATGGAGACAATCTTTACTGGAGTGTAAACAGCTAAAGTGCTAGCGCCGTATTACAAAGACTGTGTGTCTGTCATTCAATGAGTTGTACAGGGTGTCAAACGCTGAACGAGATATATGTCAGGTTTGATTTGAAATTCATATGTAGATTCATTAATATGAATAATTTATGGATTTATAATTAACAAAATGTAACATGATTATCCGCATTTAACACACCACATGTTTTGGTCTACAGTATAATTCCTGACGCTGCGAATAGTGTATTTGATAGGACCGCTGCGCCAGGCAACAGACAAGCACTTTCATGTGTATGCCAATTGTGTGAGTGACGGCTGCGACCAATGGACCAGGTCGTGATTGACCTTTTCGCCAACTCTTGGTTTCATCACTGATTTTCACTGATCCGGTCATATATTTTTCACCAATAGTTTACCTTTTAACCAGTGTGATGTCATCTTTGGGGAGTATCATATAAGAGATACCGAATTCCCTGTTCAGACAACAAAGCGATGGTCAAGCTAAACGTATGGGCGTTTCAACCAAGGAACACAAACTACTATCGAGTCAGTTTTCAGATACACATTGATTCCTGTACTTATAGATAGCCAAAGCAGGTACGACTTAAGGAGATTATGAAAATCGACCATAAAATTTAATCAGTATTGTGTTGCATAGCACGAGATAATTATCACAGAAGCACATGCATTTAACACAAATCTTGATACAGTAATACAAAATGCACTTACCATATTTAATACCTGACTGATACCACTTATATACACAGTTAGTTTCAATCACCAGACTGTTACTGTTGCCATACCAGTTTCATTAAATCGAGAAATATTTCCACAGACTGCCAGATGCTCTGTCATTGGGTAACAAAACTGT